TTATTTATTTTTACTAAATATACAATAAATTTTTTGTTATAAAATCTTAATTGTTATACTTTTCTTCTTTAGTATTGCTAACTCTTTTTTCATCCTATGTATTCCTATATAATTTGTTATTCCCAATTTACACTCCATTTTTATTATATATTCCTAGGACAGAGAAAATCTTATTTGTCACCGGATAATTTTGGCCAAGTTCGGTAATGCCGGCCAAAATATCACGTGGGATTAAAAAGTGTTGGTGTAGTTCGTCACACCTGCATTTGTTACCTGATGATCACATAAAAATTCAGATTTGTTTTCAAATTCATTTTAAAACGAAAAAATGACTTCTGGTAATTGGTATCATGAATTTCAACCAAAAGGTGTCGAACAACTAGCAGTCCATCCTAATAAGTTCGACGAAGTCAGAGACGTCATAAAGAATGTTTTTCGAAAAGTTAACCGAAATAAATATTTACAAGAGAAAAAATTGGTCATTCTTTATGGTCCAACCGGAAGTGGAAAGTCGGCCACTCTTAAACTCGCTATTGATTTTATCAATCAAGAGTCTGAACTCTGTGAACAACGTAAATTACCCACTTTGCCTCGAATATATATTAATAAATTCGATCCGTATCCTATCGGATATTCTCAACAAATTGATTATGAACCGGCCATAACGAGATTTAAAGATTGGATCAACGATAATATTTGGTTTGCGACACCAGAAGCCTTAAAAAGGGGGTATAAAGCACAAGTCCTTTTATTGGAGGAATTGCCATTTGCGCCCAATAGTAAGGAACAAAAAGTTAAATTTCATCGAGAAATATCAAATTATCTGGGAAAGGAAGATATAAGAATGCCAATAATTTGGATAGTTACAGAAACAAGCATGAATATCGAAGATTGGGATCACAAAGAATCTAAATCAGTTGACACATTATACAATACTGTGCCGAAAAATATCCTCAAGGATCAAAAAGTAACACTTGTAAAGTTCAACCCAGTTGCAAAAACCCATTTAAAAAGGGGACTCAAAGCATTCTTGGAGGAAAAGTTTCCAAAAGAAGAAGCTATCAAAAGAGAATGTGTAATGAAAATAACGGACAAAGTTGCAGAAAGTGGTGTAAAAGATATTCGTCAAGCACTGAATTATATACAAAGTGCCTATACGATTATGGAAACAACGGAAAAGATACCTTCATTTATGATAACTCCTTCACCTCACAGATATAACAGGGCTGGAAGATTACTAAATGCTCCTCGCAAACCTTATATTAGAACTCAAAAGAAACAGCTTTCTAACGAAACGATATCTGAAATAAATTCCATAATAACTGAGAATGTAAAGTTTGAGAAAAGTGTGGATCAATTTGAATGTCTTAACCTTATATTTGGAATAGATAAGTCTAAAATAGATGACGCAAATTCAAAGCCGAGAAAGATAATTGGCGGCATGCTTATCGATTATGAGAAATTTGGTGAACTTGCCTTTTCAAATTATCTTAATCATTTTTCAAGTAATATTGAACTCGCAAGTGCATCCGAAGCATTCAGCAATTATGATATATTTCATGCTAACAACTACAATAATAAAAGGAATTCTAGTTTGATTTTGATGAATGGGTTAAGAGATTCTCGAACGCAATGTCCGCCAAAAACAGGGTATGTCATTCATAAAGGCAATGCTTTCTTCGATTTTAATCAAAGAATGCGCAAAAATAAAGACTGTCTTTGGTCAATAAAACGTGGTAAACAGCGGCTTTTCGAAGAAGATACGGTTGGCACACAAAATGAGAATTTTATTATGACAAATCATAGCAAAGAAGATCTTGCGATGTTCGTTTTACCATATTTGAGACAAATGAGCAAACTTGACACTTCGAATATTTTAAAAATATCCAGAAGTGGAAAAGCATGTTTGAATGAATTTGGTAAATTCCAATATAATAATAATGACAGGATTTTTAAGTGAAAAAAAATTATAATATATACATATGAAAAATTGGAATAAATATTTCATCAAAAATGAGCATCAATTCTAAATCTCATAATTAATTCTAAGTAATAATTTTTTTTTTTGTTTTATTGACATTTGAAGATTTTTAATTGAATAACCAAAAGCTATTAACAAAGCTATTAAAAAAAAAAAAAAAAAAAAACAAAACTAAATTATATCATGTATGGGACGGAGAAGTAAGTCTATAGGTAGGGGAAGAGACAATGTGTTTAGAATTGATCATGTCCAAATTTGAATTATTCGATGATTGACTATTGGAATTATTATTATTATTATTCTTATCATCAACAACTAATGATGCATGAGGTTCGTTGATCCTAGAACTTTTTCTAAATTCATTAGATGTTTCCAAATTATGATACGATTTTTCACGCTTGGGATCGTTCCCACTTTCATCCCCATCTCTCGTAAAATTGCGTTTATCGCCACCAAATCTCTTTTTCATAAATTCATTATCAGCTTCGTAATCGCTGGGCTTTTTATCCCAACAATCATAATAGCGATTCCGGTGTGAAAGCGATTCATTTAAATCGCGATCATTCTTTTTATGATGTCGACTTCGACGTTGATGATGATGCTCATCACGTCGATGATGACAACTATGGTGGTCGTCACGTTTGTGATGCCGACGATGTCGTTTGTCATTTGATCGTCGAGGGGAATGAGATCGTGATTTTGATCTACTTTTATGATTGCGCTCCAGTGAAAGGTGACGCGGATGGCTCTTATTTGGACTTGATGATCGAGATCGTTTTGGAGATTTTATAAAACTAACGGATATCGATTCTGAAGGCAGTTTTTTTACTGATTTGGAAACAGAAGAATTATCAATTGCCTTAATCGAATCTGTTAAATTAACAAAGAACACATCAACATTCCAAAAGTTTTTACATAGAATAAAACGAGAAATAACGCGTCTTGTTATTCAAGGCTTTGAAAAAAAAAAAAAATTAAATACTTGATTGTTTCCAAGGTAGATCTTCAAAGTCTCTATCAGCATCTGAATATAAACCTCCAGGATTTTTATATGCGTGCAAAAAATTACACTGAATTCCTTTCGGACATTGTTTTCTTTGATAATATCCTAATACGAGATTATTGTAAGTAAATGAACGTAACAACATTAATCCGATATCATATAATAAATATATTTCAATTACCACATATCGCGGGTTTCCATTTGGTTACTGGACAGTAATCGCATATCAACTGTTTGCCAGCGTACCATCTTCCCCTGATATTTTCGATCGCTAGTTCTGCCTCGACCTCACTTGAATATTGTACATACACGTTTCCACGTAGATGTTGTTGAAAATTATTACATACCTGAAATATTATACAATTAATAGTTAAAAAATTTTAATTCTGCAATCATTTCTCCATCAATAAAAGATATTACCTTGAATTGCACGATATTTCCATATTGCTGAAATTCAGTATGTACGTCTTCGAAAAAGTCAAAATAATGTTTTTCGGCTTCAACTTCGTCAAACTATAAAAAAAAAGAGAGAGATAATCCGAAATGTAGATTCAAATATAATAATAATTTAAAAATAAATCTGTCAAGGATTTCTTTTTCTAATTTGTAAATTTAGATATTTATGTAAAAGAAAAGATACAGCGAAGGACGATCTTAAAGTCTTCAATTAAATGGAACCAATCATCTTCCTTGTATTAATAGAAAAAAATCACCGCTAGGTTTAATTCCAAAGCCATCCTTCGCAATACTTTAGATATATTTGGGGGCTGAAACATACCTCCAAATCATCATCATCATTCTCATCTGCCAATTGCACGGGCATACCCTCATACATATTTTTGATTAAAATAGTACAACATTTTTCAGGATAAGGATGATATCGACCACATGAATCACCGTATCGGCAAGCGCCGGTTTTAAGATAAAATGGACAATTGACTTGATCCTAATGTTATTGATAATAAACATTTTTTTCAAAATTAAGAATAATGTAATATACGAAACTGTATTATAAACTAACCCATATATAATTTTTTAAATCATTGGTTTGAAAATGTATATATAATTTTTTATATTAAATTTAGGATACGATACTTTCTCAGTTCCATAATCGGTTTTTTCGCTCGAGTCTTCTTGAACTGATGTTGCTGATGGAGATGTAAACTTCAAGAATATATCTTGTTAAGAGACGTTATTATTTCTCGTTTATAAACAAAATTCTAAGTTGAATTATTCAAAATACCAATTCATTTGAATCTTTATTGTTAATTTCTTCTTCGGTAATAGGTTTGGGTATTTTTATACTTTTAACTGTTTTCTCCCAATTTTCCTACAATAAATAATAAACATGATGAATTCGCATTAAAAAGGTTTATACATGATTTATTTACCTGTATTATTTTTTTATTTCTTTCATTTTCCTCTTGCCTTTTCTTTTTTTCAGCATTAGCCTGATCGATTTGTCGTTCTCGGACTTCCCATAATATTCTTTCTGCATTTCTTTATTTTTATTTTTTAATTTTTTTTTTTTGATATATTAAAATATAATTCTTCAAGAATTGTACGATAAAATAATTTAAAAAATCTTTAAAGGTATTTTATACCTTTTTCTTTCTTCAATTTTAATTGTTTCAGTAACTTCTTCAGAAATTTCTTCTTCCACTTGTAGTTGCCTAGCTTTAGCGGCTTCTATCCGAGCATTTTTTTTTCGCTGCTTTCTCATAAGTTTTCTAAACTCTCTACGCGGCAAATGGTTCATTTTGCTCGTATATTTCGTTTCCTTTCTGATCAGCTTTAATACCAAGTAGAATCAGCAGAAACAATATTTGAACTTTTTTCTTTCGAGTCACGGTTGTTTTTGCAAGTTCAAATCCAACTCAAAAAAAAAAAGCGATGAGGAATTACGTCAACCAATCACGGATGTTTGATAATTTTCGCAAACTTGTTACACGACACACATTTCATAAATAGTCACCAATTCAAAATTTAATAAAAATTTTTTTTTTAAAAAAAAACATGAATTCAAAATCTTTAATTAATCCCAATTACGATTTAAATCCATACAAAAAAATTGGTGAAAAATATGAGAATGATTCTTTAACATATTTGGAACAATATTACACCAAATATTTCCTTATTGATTCAAGTAAGTCAAAATGATTAAATGATTTCAATTCAAAGATAATACTATTTGTTTAATCAAAACATTTTATTAGATGAAAACACAACTGAAGACTTTTATATTTATCAAGCTCCTAATAAGTTATCATCTTTTTATTTTTATCGTTGTTTTACTTTTTTTTTTATTATATATATATATTTTTTTTTTCATACAAAGTTTTTTTATTCTTTTTTAAAGATTGTGTGTAATAGGTTTGTCGCCAACGCATCCTTTATTACAATCATCTCAAAAAGTGAAATCAATAAAATTTAATGAAAAAATATCTCAATCGATTAATAAAAAAAAACAAATCCCTCTTGAAATAAAACGTGAAATTTGCGTTATTACAACAGTAAGTGGCAAAAAGTATAGTATTAAAGCAGGTGTTGTTGGCTGGGTAATTGATTTTAATATGAGACTTGACAGAGAATATGATTTGTTACAGGAAAAGGTTACTATTTTCCTTTTTTTTTTTTTTTTTTTTTCCTTTCATCAAAGCAATTCTTAACCTTTGATATTCTCGTTTGTACAGCCATTTACGGAAGGTTATATTGCAATTATAAAACCTAAGCAGGATGACCCCCAAAAAGCATTAAATCATTGTATAGATGAAAAGGAGTACAAAGATGTTAGAACATTAGATTAATTAATCTTATTATTACCTGAAAAAAAAAATAAAAAAATTTTTTGAAATCGTGAAAAGATTGATTATGTTTTTTTATTTATAAGATAAAATTTTTTAATAACGTCACGTCTAATATGTACAAGTTGTAAAAGAAAACTAACAAGAGTACAAAGCACTAAAAATATACAAGTTTTTGGTAAAAAACCAAAAAAGTGCGAACCTAGCTAATATAGTAGCAAAACGAATCAAGTATCTGTCAACTAAAAAAATTTTTTTTTTTGTTCTTATCAAAAGAACTATGAAAGAAGAAAATGAAAATGTATATGTATAGTGGAATTGAACGCACACTAAAGGTACTTTTAGAAAGGACACATACACGAAGTGGTGAATCCGTGCATAATATTACAAACAAATGAATTCGATCGCATCAATTTTTTTTTTATAGGAGCCACAGCATTAAGAGAACAAACATAATTAAGAACTAGGAAAAATACTTCAAGACGGACTTTTTTTTTTTGAATAAAGGTAAAAAAAGCAAAAGAAAAAGGGGGATAAGACATACTGACATAATAAGGAAAAGGAAAAAAGAATTTTTTTTTTTTGAATCACATGAAATCAAATTGCTGTGAATTTCGGTGATTAGTAACGGTTGTAGCCGCCGCCGCCGCCGTAACCACCACCACCACGACCACCACGACCACGACCACCACCACCACCTCCGTAACCACCACGACCTCCTCCGTAACCACCACCGCCGCCGCCACCACCGAAGCCACCTGAACGTGGAGCGGGTGAAGAGCGTTCTGAAGCACGGTCGACTATTTTAGAGGAAAAAAAAATCAACATAAAAGCGGATTGATTAATAATCTCTTTAGTTTTAAAAAGAAAAAAGGAAAGGTCAACAAAAAAAGAATTTATATTCACCCTTGATAGTACGGCCATCGAATTCTTGATCATTTAAGTTTTGAATGGCAGTTTCAGCATCTTCATTACTACACGGAATACACGGATAAAATTGTTAATGACGTTCGTTGAATTCAACGATCAATTATCATGTGATATAAAAGAAAAAACTTACTTTGCGAAGGTAACGAATCCGAAACCACGACTGCGACCTTTTATAATTACGAGAAACCAGAGAGATAACCAGAACAAAAACGAACATAATTATAGATAGCAGGGTGGATAAAAGGGTTTGAAACACAATATATATTGATTATTTTTGCACACACGCACACTCGAACAACACACAAAAAAAAAACAAAAAAAAGTATCATCCTGTTTGTGAGACAACACAGGCGAGGGAAAAGGGAAAATGAAGACAACAAAAAGGTTAGCATCCTTTTATTCGCTATTGAGATTAACCCAGACAAAACAAAAAAAATGTTTTGAAAAGTCTCGCGAAATTGACAAGGTGCTCAACTAAACTATTGTTCGCTTAAAGAAAAAAAAGAGAAAGAAAAAAAAAAAACCAAAAATCTCATCTTACCAGTATCACGATCACGGATAACAACAGCGTCTTCGACGGTGCCATATTCTTCAAATCTTTGCCTTAGAGAACGGTCATCAGTACCCCAAGACAAACCACCGACAAAAAGCTTGACGGACATTATTAAAAATTAAAAAAAAAAGAACTATGTGGTGGTGTAATGGAGCAACGAAAGAAACGAACAAGGAACTAAAAGTATTAATTTTTTTTTTTTTTGGGTTATTTGAGAGGGTTAAAGACGAACGAAACCGAACAAAAAGGCTTAATATACCTGAAAAAAATTTAATGAAAACAGGGATGGACCCTCTTTGCAATGGCTTAGCCTTCTTTTTTTCCAAATTAATAATGTTGCATAATTTTAAACAAGCTTTTGTCAATCTTATCTAGGATAGTTCTATTATATTCAAAATTACCCCCAACAATTGGAGGAATTGTGACAAATGAAATTACGTGATCCAGATTGTGAGACATAATATAATGTTAAACTATGCATAAACAAATGACGAAGTGATGATCTAATTTACAGGACTCAGCCGAAAATGAGAATGTTGTGCCTTCAAAAAAAAAAAAAAAAAAAAAAAAAGGATACAATATGGGAAAATGGCTTTGTGTCACTTAATTTGTTCGGATAGTTAACTCGCTCGAGTTACGCCTGATTTTGTAAAAATTTTGATAAGAAGAATTCAATTGACAATTCTACAATTTTACAATTGTTTGCTGAACTCAAAATAGGTTGGACAAACACCTGAAAAGAATGCACCCATGAGACTTTGTGGGAATTTTTTAATGATTTATTTATTTTTATTTTTTTTTTTTTATATATGCGTCAAATAATGATTGGTTGAACTAATCAACACGCCTGATTGGTTGATAAAAACCAGATTGCTTTATCTTCACTTTTTTTTTATGAGGTCTTATTCTACATTGTTAGGTATTCCATGATAATCGTTACTATTCACATGTTCGATTACAAAACTTTGTGGTTGAAGCACAAGTTCATCCCTGTAATCATAATGTTTGTCCAATGATTCCGAGTCAGCTAATATAGCTGGTGGTAGATCATCATCCTTGATTGAAATTCTTGGTGAATGAACAAGAATTTGATGATGGGTAAAGTAGACACTAAAATCAATGAAACATCTAAACAATAAATTAAAAACATTTTAATCCCGAGTACCTACGGTATGGAACGTATGAATTCTACTATTAATTGTCCGGTTGTCAACCCAGTTACCACCACAATAAATATTTGTGAATTCATCGACATTATTAATAACATGTAAAAAAATCTCAAGGTGGTCAACACCGCATAACCGAGAGTCCGTGTTGCAAACACTTTAATCCTTTCTTGATTTTTATCATATTCCGAATTCTCATAATAATAGGTCAAAAGTCTTTCACACCAACATAATGAAGTCACAAATAAAGTTGCCAAGACAAAGGTATGAATAGAAGTAACTTGGAATCCTGAAAAATATGTTATGTATGACTATACACATTACTAGTTCATTTGGTATCTCAAAATAATTTAATGATGAGATACCCTTACCACCCGTGAAATAAAGCATGTTATGATCGGAACTTTTGGAATCCGTCATTTTTCATAAAGTGAAAAACGCGAAGGAATCATGTATAAACGGAGGATTTCCGCGAATTCATTTTTTTTATTTCGTTCATAGAAACTAAGGGCTTTTTATTACAAAAATTTTGTCTGTTCCCTAATTTGAGGCTTATATCAAAGATAAACCTGTTACAATGTCCTCATACTATTTCATAGTAAATTACGAGTTCTTTTTTTTTTTTTTTTTTTTTTTTTTTTTTGATATTAATATATTAATGACTGAATAAAAATGGTTTTTATGTGAAACGTGCTGTTTCGTTCCTCATGAAAATATTTTGTCACGTGACATAAATTAAAATTAAATGATGTGTTAACTATGGTTAAAGATTTTAAAGTTTGAGATTAATAAACTATTTTTCCGGCCATCCTTTTTCGCTATTTTCTCCTTCTTCAAGCGTATCTTGTTGGCTGACAACCCTTAATACAGATTTTTTGCTGGATTCTTGCATTTCTCCAGCAATTATCAATTCATCCAAAACAAAATATGCCTTTTAAAATTTACAAACATAAATTTTGATTAAGATTTGATATTAATAAAGTTACTAAAATTATGGAATTATTATATCATTATTCTTAAACCTATCCTACCTTTTGAAAATTAAAAATCAAATCTAATTCACATACCTAATGTAAAAAACGTTCATTAAGATTTGAAACATAAATTAAGGAAAGATTAAGCAAAGTATGATTCAATTCGAAATTATACATTTCCAAAATACCGATCTAGAATTTCAACATAACGATGAATAATCTCAAGTGTTATGAGCTCATTATCAGTGGCAGAAATGCCCGTGACGAAAAATAAACTTGCATATCTAAAAAAAAAAAAAAAAAGTAAGAAATTTTTTTTTTAATATTTAACTCCTCTACTGAAAAAAATTAATAAAATTGTTACTTGAAATTTTACCTTCGATACACGACTTTTTCATCTACAAACAGAATTCACGTCATTCATTAATCCCGATTCAATTAAATAGAAAGTTTGATAACTAATTTAATTCAAATTTAATATACCATTAATAAAATTACGTATAACTAACCCTTATATTCTAAAAAGTTACACATCTTGGTACGTCTGGAAAGTACCATTTGTGTAACTTCTTTAATGATTTTTTGTTTTTCTTTTGGTGAAAGAGTGTTAAACCACTTTGCAAGACGTACTTTTCCTTGACGACTTACTAATAACACGTATTTAATCTATTAGTAAAAAAAGGGTGGAAATTTCAATGATTTTGTAAATTATGCTAAAAAAAAATAATCAACTAATGACTTACTCCCATCTTAAAGGTAATATTATTTTTTTTGAGTAAATCTACGGAAAGGAGTGAATGCGTTGCAAGAGAAAGTCCGAATCTAAAAAAATGTCAAATATTTGTGGGTTACACAATCAAGTGTCACGTTCTCCAATAAAGTAAGTTTATTGCAAAATGCCTCAAAATAGTTGAAATGATTTCGCAGTTTTTCATTCTATCTCCTCAACGAGGTGATGTACTTATACTTCGCGACTGTGAGTTCTATTTTTGTTATTTTTTTTTGTTTTTAAAAAAATGTTCATAATTCCCATGCGTCCATCACTTTGTTATTTAAAAAGTTCGACACGATACTCCACAAGATACGCCTGGCCTTCTTCTCGATAGACTAAAAACTTGGCAAAAAGACCATGGAACCGAACAAGATCCGCCTCCAATATTTAACGTGGACGGTTTTCATTTCCTTTTTAAAAATATACAAGGACTTTACTTTGTTTGTACTACAAAGTTCAACGTTTCTCCTTTTATGATCTATGAATTACTTGGACGCGTTGCGATTTTGATAAAGGATTTTTGTGGAATTTTAAGCGAAGAATGCTTACGATTAAATTCTAGTTTAGTTTATGAATTGCTTGATGAGATCATTGTAACCTTTTGACCTTTATCGAAATGGTAATTTTTTTAAAAAAATATCTTCACCTTACAAAAGTTCTATTTTATCAGGATTATGGATATGTTCAGACAACCTCAACAGATCGATTAAAATCTTATGTATATGAAGATCCAATTCAGGTCAAACGTGAAAACATATTCATGAATTCCCTAGCAAAGGTTAATAAATATATGACGTTGATACATGTACATATTTAATTTAATGATTGTAAAATTTTAATCTTGATCTCTATATTTCAGTTAAAAGCACCGGGGACAAGTTTGGGATCTTCAAGCAATCGACCAATTACGCATATGCGTGATGAAAAAAGTGTTAAACAAAATGATGTTTTTATTGATGTTATAGAACGACTTGTCGCTTCCTTTGCTTCCAATGTAAATTGTTCTCTCATTGCCCATGTATCATTTGTGCATCACGCTAAATAATTGAATCATATAATAGGGGATGACAGTACGAGCAGAAATCGATGGTTCAATACAGGTTAAGAGTTATTTGCAAGGAAACCCCGAAATTCGACTGGGTCTAAACTCCAATATTATACTCGAAAGAAATAAAGATATGTCAAGAAGTAGGAAAGAAAATTTGTTCGAGTTAATGCTTGAATTATTGTAATATTAATAATAACCTTGCTTATTGAAAGTATAGGTGATAGGTATGGGATTGTGTTCGAAGATTATAAGTTCCATGATTCGGTGGATCCTACAGGTAAATTTTGTTGATATCAATTAGCAAATTCTATCTTTCTATTTGATCTAAATTAAAGTTGCAACGATTTTAATATCAAGATTTTGAAGAACATAAACGAATGATTATTTTTCCACCGGAAGGAGAGATTACGATTATGAAGTAATGTCTCTGTAATTTTTTTTTTTTTTTTTTTTTTTACTACTATCTCGTTAAACATTTGTTGTCATCATTATCATCTTAGTTATCGAATATCCGGAGACGTTAGTTTACCATTTCGAGTATTCCCAACTGTTATGCGTGTTCCAGGGTATCCAAATAGGATGGATGTCACCATTAGAATTCGAACCGATATCCCTGAAAATCGGTTCGCAAATAAATGTACACTAACTGTACCTTTGCCGCATGTAACACAAAGGTATTTCAAAGGGTTATTTGTGAACTTTCTTTATAAACAAAAAAATTTACGACTCGTTTTTTATTAGTATCTATAACGAAAACATGGACGGATCGAATGATCAATCAGTCCAATATGATAATCGAATCAAAAATGTCATATGGACGATTAATAATCTACAGGGTGGCACAGAACAGTCAATAAAAATCAAGGTACATTGATATTCTTTTTAATTTTACAAATAACTGTGATGATTTTTAAGTATTACCATATTTTAGATTACGGGATCCGCTTCGTTTTCAACAGTTGCAGAATTGGAAGTAGGTCCTATCAGGCAAGTTATCATAACCTTAATTTCCTTCAAGATAAAATTATGATTAATTAAACCTTCTATTTGATTTTATGTCTAGTCTTGAATTTGATATTCCTAATTTCACCTGTTCTAATATTCAAATTCGGAGATTAAAAGTTTACGAAAAGTATAAGTCAATACTTCCCCAGCGTTGGGTCAGATACTTTACCATATCCGAGAGTTATATTTGTCGTGTTTGAAAGGTATATTGTATTAAATAATGTGTAGATTTACGCGTTACATTTGATAATATTTATGTTTAGAATTGAATAAAATAATTTGTTACTAAACACATAATAATTATAATGAAATTTTATATATTTTTATATATTTGTAATTTTAAAACCCGAATTTTGCTACAAACATAAATAATCAAATTACTTGTAACATTAAAATTAATGGAGGAATGAACAAATTAAGATTCTAAATTGATAGAAATGCCGAAACGATGTGCATTCTCATGCAAACGAGATGTGTCGATGCTACCACCAAAAGAAATTTTAACGCCAGGACGGAGAGCTTGTGTATATCCAATACCGACCCTACCACTACTATCGACTTTGCCCTGTTTTTTTTTAAAAAAAAAAGTTTTCTTAAAAATAATAATAATAATAATAATAAAAACAAGTAATAAAATTAGTAATACTTTGACAAAGGCATCGCGATCCAAGAAATATTTAGCACCAAATTCCAAATTAACCGAAGTATTATTATTCGAATGACTGTCCCAATGAGCTTTGGCTCCAGCTTCAATTTCAGAGCTTACACGATGATAATATAAAAGAGTATAAGCGGACATGGAATTAGTTACGCGAAGGGCAACGTTATACTCTGGATGAGTATAACCCGCCGCGACACCATAACGAGTAAGTTTTCCATCCATAACATCATAAGAACCCTCAGCCCCAACGAGGAAACCTTCATGACCGACAACGATATCTCCTTGGAAGATAGGTCCTTTAAGAGCATCAACATAAAGTTTTGTATGAAGACCCGGCTGTTTAAAAGCGAAACCTCCCCTAACGTTCCTGTTTCCAGTTGATGGTTGAATACTAGTAAGCAAATCCAACTTAAGACCTTTTGCAAGACTATTTTCAAGTTCGAATTGACCATTTAATTGGTTACTTGTAGTCCAACTTCCTGTGAACGTTCCACCTCTTTTTGGATAATAATATTTAGATTTAAGTTCTCCATTAATAGTACCATTCTTGGTTTCTTTTTGCCCAATAAGAGTGAAAGACTAGAAAGGAATTGAAATTGTGAATTGATCTGTTTGCTTAATTATGATATATATTTAATTAAAGTGTAACGTTTTGTTGTGACTCACCACACCATTGGGTGCAGTATTTTTAGCTTCGAGCTTAAATGCACCGACTGGAAAGTCCTTGCCAAATAGATCACTAGCAGATTTGCCAATGTCTGAATAAGTTGCTGGAATTGGAGTAGACATTAATTATACTATAAAAATATTTTCACAATTATCATATTAAACAAGAGGGAAAAAAAAAAAAAAAAAAAATTCAATTTTTCAACAACATAAGCATTTCAAAAGTCAAATAAAATTATAACAATCCTCACAAAAATGGCAAAGTCAGTAAAAAAGAGAAACCAAGTATGAATATCGGACGGTGATCTGGAGGCGTTGAAAGGACTCTTTCAAGGAGAGGAAGCGAAAAAAATTTTTTTTTGAGTTAAAAATTTTTTTTTGTTAATCAAAGATGAAGCAAATAAAAAAATTGTGTCACAGAATCGATCTTGAAAATCTGTTCCGATTTATGAGGCAATAAAATCAAATTCATCGTATAAATAATTTTTTTTTTTTTTATTTACATAAAACTATATTTATTATATGGTAAATATTTTAATTTATTAATTTATTGATTTATTCTTATTCTATATTTCAAATCTACTTATCACCCAATTTCATGTTGGCACTCTCATAAGAAATTGGCCTCGAAGATCCTAATTGTAATACTTGCCAAATAACCAATATTGTCCAAGACAATATAACAATAAAAATAACAACCTAAAATATATTGAATAAAGAATAATCAGTATACTACACAGAAATAACTAGATGTAAGAATTCTTTGGCATACTTTGCTTAATTTACAACCATCTAAATACCACGGAATTGGAGCTCTATGTTCCTGAAGATTTGTAAACCTTCTGGGGATTATTATAGAATGATTTGAATTAGATTCATTCTGAAGAAGTTGATATTCAGTTGTCATTTTTTTTTTTTTTTTGACAAAAAAGAGAGTTCAAAATTAAGTGACTAATTTGAATAACCAATGGATTTATGGAAATACATGCAAATACATGCGGAAAATCCATGGAAATTTTTAACCTTTACACAAAAAAAAATGTGTTGTTTATATTAGGAAAAAAAAATACCTTAGATATCATAAGTATTATATTAATATTCTTTTTAATAATAAGCATATATAGGAAAAATGTAATAAGGTCTTAATTTTAGTCAAAAAAAATTCTCAAAGCCTGATTTTCTTAGAAATTTCCTATATAATGAATCTTATATTACAGATTTATTTATTTTTATTATTTTATTAATAAAATTTTTTAAAAAAAATTATTATCCCTTTAACTGTTTTGCCTACAAATTTGTATGCAATTTTATTTATTAATTACAATTTTTTTTTAATTTTTTTTAAATATTTTAAAATATATTATTAAAATTAATACTTTTATAATAAATTTTATAATGTTTTCTAAGTAAAAATTATTAAACAAAAAAAGTGATTTTTTAAAGATAAATAAATAATAAATTATTATAAAAAAATTAAAATTTAAACTCATATATCTTGCTATTTATCAATCTCAGAAATATAAAAATACTAATATTTAATAGATTTTAATGTGATGAATACAATAAACTAAATTTTATATTTTTTATAATTATTAAATTTTTTTGAATAAAATAATAAATTAAGAATTAGAATATAAGGAATAAAATTAAGGTAAAGGGAATAATTTGAGTCTAAAATAAAAAAAATAAAATAATATTATAATTAGTTAAAATTTAAAAAATTTGAAAATAAAAAAAAAATAATTTTTGCCAATATATTTTACATAATTTCAGAAGTATATACATATTCATCATTAATTTTGATTTTAATAAAAAAATCTTATAAATAATAATATAAATGAGAATGAAACTATGACTATCTAAAAAGCAAATCACAACTTTTTACACATGAAAACATGACAAGTATAGGAATAAATTTCTCTTCAATTAATTTTCTTTTGTTGTGAATAGTGAAGAAGCGAGAAAGAACATTATAAAAAAAATAAAAGAATCAGAAAAAAATAATGCATAGTAAAATAAAAATATACAGATTAGGAAATAGCTTTTCTTTTCTATACTATATCTCGCCTAGTTAGCATAGTGATATTTCTTATAGCTTTTACAATTATAGATAATTATTTGATTTTAGTCTTTATGTATAATTACACTATTCATTATTTTAAATGTTTTTTTTGAAAATTTTTGATATTATTAAAATGGTAGGAAATTTACCAAATTTATGCCTTCTCAGTATCTTTAAATATTTGAATGATGATTATAAAACTTTGTATTCTTACACATTTTTTAATAAATAATAGAGTTACTCATCTATTCTAATATTATAGGTAAATCCACTTAAGTTAATCAGTTCATTTAAAAACTTAAATTTTTAAAACTTTTATTAGATACCTATCTTTTTTTTTTACCTCAAAATCAATCACAAGAACTTAAAATCAAACTAAGATTTAATCAAAATATCATGATCTTCAATTATTCTGTATACTTTTGTCATATGAATTTATTATTGATTTTTAATAATATAGAATATGAGTATCAACAAGAACCTATATGTAAAAACTATTCATGTACTTTATCAAAAGAAATTTCAATTTGTAAAGCATTGGTTAAATATTTTTTTATTCATTCTTCTAAAATTGATATACTTATTATTTGTAATTTTTATTATTTTAATATTTTAAACCCTTTCTAGTTCTATAAATATTCTTTCAAAAATTTACACACTAATTTCAATTATAATATTTTCAATTAATTTTCAACTTTATCAAGTTTAAATTAAAATATCAGATCATTAACATACTATATTAAATCTCTTTATCTTAGGTTAATTGATAGTTTAAAACAACTTATTCAATCTTAAAATAATTTAATTAATATTATAATCTCTGAATCTGAATCTAACGAAAGAGAAAAACCCTTTCTGATGTATTAGAAAATATTTTATTCTTCACTAAATGTTATATCAATAATTATTTTTATAGAGTTTGAAAGTATCCAATTTTCTTAAAATTTTCTTTATTTCACTATTTATCTTCATTTATCAATTTACAATACCTCAAATTTAATAGTTATGATTTATTAGATATTCTTTTTAAAGAGAATCAACTTTTATATGAAATTAATTCCTATCATCCTTTAGCTTTTAAAAATTAAATACTATTATCATTATTGAAATTGCATTTAACATAGAATTATTAAAGATCCTTTTATAATTATCAGATAAAGAATCGAGATATTTGAAATTATTGGATATAAAAATCATTATTAAAAATTAAAAGATTAATATATATTGAATTTTAAAAGTTTAAAAATACTACTATTAGATATATTATAATATAATAAATCTAAAATTTTTATTTTATTTTTTATAATCATTAGATATTAAAATATCTTGTTTTATTTTAAAGATATATATATATTAGAGATCTTCTTGATTATATCAACAGACCCAGTAACTAATCTTCTAAGATCTCACATGAATAACACAACCTTGTTATTATATCTATTACAGAGGACTGCCATTAGTATTATAGTCTAACAATCACTGAATTTGATCCTAACTTCTGTCTCATCTAATCCTCATAGAATTTACTGATTATCAGAATTGGATAGAGAGCTTACTTCAGTCACAGTAATTAATAGTATTATTTTACCAATCAATTATAGGGTTTTACCTTATTGATAACTACTAAAATTAAGAGATCAAATTCTTATAGATTGGTAGCTTTGTACCTATAGTGTCAAATTCACTTAAGAATTGAACCTAACTTCTAACCTTAATAGTAACAAAATTTAGCTCAAAGTTGCAACGTGCAATGCAGTCTATTATCTTTGAAATACTCCAGATCTACTAATTACTAATTAATTATTTTCTTATTTGTATAAGAGCTCTTAAGTTTAAAGATGTAAGACAGTTTCTATTACAGATTTATCAGCGACAGTCAAGTTTCTATCAATCTATGGCTTTATTTGCATTCACTTGTTCTTTAAACCTAGTATTAGGTATGATCAATGTAAATCAATAGATTAATCTATCAGTTTCTAATATATATTAGTCTATATATTTACGTGTTCAGTTATATATGAAAATTATTTAGTTTTATATTCTAGTTAAGGCCTGAACTTATAGTTATTATAGTATAATCACAATAGAAGCTTAGTTATTATTAACTGAACTAGAACGCTAATCCTTATCAAAATATTTTAAGTTTTCTAAAATATTCTAAAAATAATTTTATACTTATAATTTAAGAAATAATTCAATCTGATATTTAAAATTTACTTATTATTAGTAAAAATAATAAAAGATTTTTTACTATTATAATACATTAAATATAAATATCATAAAATAAAAGTAATTAAAATATAATTGAAAAATAGTTTTAAAAATTTTATTAAGTCAAAAACATAAATATAATAAAAAAGACCAATTATATATCAACTCAATTTTAAGTAAATATACATTAAATATCAAATTAATACTCTAAATTAATTATAATTTTATTATATTAATAATCAAATATAATTTTTTAATATAATATTTTAAATTTTTTTAAAGAGAGAAAATTACCAAAAAAAAATTTTCTAGTTAATTTTAAATCTGAATTTATTTTACTAAAAAACTAATATTTAGTTTATAAAGTAAAAAATATTTTTTGGTAGTTTTCTTCTTTTTTATTACAAAATGCTATAATTGTTAAAACTTATATTTTATAAATGTATAACATTTTATAAGTTTAATAGCTTTAATAAGAACTGTATCTATTTAATGCATTTTTATCACTCACTATTAAAAGGATTTATTTTACAAATTAATTTTTATTTGTTCAAAAATCAATCATCATTATTGTTTCTAAAATTGTATTTCAAATTCTATTTTTATATGATTCCTCTTCATTTTTATTCTCAAATAATTCTTATTTCTATTTGAAATTTCTTGTTTCTTTTTAGAACATTATAATTTTCTAATAATCATTTCTTTTTTTTATATGTTTTCTCTTTTCATTCTCTAATTTCTTCATTTATTTCATTTTTTTTTGTGGTTAAGTATTAGATCTTCCATCTGATTATTTTATTATTATTATTAAATTATATATTATGTATTATAGTCATCATTAATTATATAT